GATTTATTTATTTTTAAATTTTATGTATTTATTTTTTGGATTTTTAGGGAAGGATCTACAGGTTGTTCTGGGTCTCACTACTAGATCAGACTCCTAGTGATGTGCCTGTTTACAGTCTCCCAAGAGCTGGGATTACAGGCATGGGCCACACTCCCAGTCTCAATTGCCTTCTCAGCATACCCCTGCCATGGGCCTGCACGGTAGGCCTGGGGATCGAACCCCCGGCCCCTGTGTCTGCTTGCAGGCACTTTAATTCACTGAACTCTTTGGTCAGCCCTATCATCTGACAGATAATTGAAAGGTTGTTTCATAATTGGCCAAACCTGACTCTCCTCTTCGCATTCAGTCACCTAATAATTTCCCTAATTTCCCTTTCCACAGTCCAGGCAGCCTTCCAGCCCAGCCAGAGCCCCTATCCCATGCCCTATCAGCCTACCCCATTGCTAGTTTTACTGTACCTCGGGCTGTCTATAAACCCCTTACTTCACTGTCTTTGTGAAGTGTTGAGATTCAAGCTCATCTTCTTCATGCAGTTTTCCCTGAAACCCCTAGCTGTCGTGTGCCTAGCCCCCCTACAAAGAGTTTGTATCCATGACTGAAGAGCCCATCTCTGAGAATTAAAAGAGAGGCAGTTTTTTTTATAAGACAGGTATAAACTTCAGGTTCAACATACGATAATGATGATGATGATGATGATGAGAAGGAGGAGGAGGAGGAGGAGGAGGAGAAGAAAGCACTGCATTTGATCTTAACAAATTATCAAGAGAATCTGAAAGAAACAAAAATCTATTGTCTCTGCTTATACCTTGTTTCTCCTTTTCTGGAATACTGATATTCCATACAAGAAAATTTCCTGTTAATATTCTACACTACTATAACTGATGTTAATTTATTCTACTGGTCCCAAATTTTATAAGATTTTAAAATGCTCTTGCTTCAAGTGTAATTACCTCATCACTACAGTACTTGAATACTGAACGCAGGTGCTTCTAAGAAAAAGGGCAGAGAGCAGGTGAGGAGCCGGCGCGCAGGCCACCCAGCGCCTGCCTGAGGTTGCCTTTCCTCAGGGTCTGGGCCAGAAGTGTTCTCTCTTGAACAGCCTTTCTATCTTCTTGCCAGTACCTGGTATTGTCTGTCATTATTTTAGTAATTCTGGTGGCTGTGCACTTGGATCACATTGTGGTTTTAATTTGAAAAAAAAAAGAGAGGCACGCTCCTCACACCCAGTAACTTGGTGTGTGTATGATGATGAAGCCTCCCGTGGTTCTGACCCTAGTCCCTCCTGTGTTGTAGTGAATACGGCTTTGCCGAGAAGGTAGTGGAGGGGATGTTCATCATAGTCAACTCCATCACCATCAAGATTCACTCCAAGGCCTTCCATGCTTCTTTTGAACTGTGGCAGCTCCAGGGCTACAGTGTCAACCCCAGCTGGCAGCAGAGTGACCTTCGTCTGACCCGCATCACTGATCCCCACCGAGGAGAGGTGATGCCCTAACATTTTGATGGGAGGGAGTAGGAGGATTCATAGTAGGATGGATTTTTTAAAGGATATTTTTTTCTTTGGAGATTTCCTTAAATATTTCCCATTCCCAGGACCCCCATACTCCTTTGTGTCCAGTGTTACTATTGCTCTGTACCCTTGATTTTGGATCTTTGACTGCCCCTTCTAGTAGGGTGCCAGCTGAGATGGGTGGGCATCTCTGCCTTGCCAGTTTTCCCCATAGAATCCCTGCCTCTTGGTTAATTTCACTCATAGAATTATGTGAGTTTAATTTTTTTCTCCTTCCAGGTTTTAACATTTAAGGAAATAACTTGGCAGACACTTCGAATTGAGGCAGATGCTACAGATAATGGTGACCAGGACTCCATCACTACCCCTTTGAGGCTTATTACCAATCAAGGCAGGATCCAGATAGCCCTCAAGAGAAGAGTGAGTGTCTCTCTGTCCTTGTGCAGATGTCTGTCTTTTATTCTCTCTAGATAGTCTGGGAGTTGGCATTCCCTCACTGTTTGGAGTTTTAGTGGTCTCTGGACTGACTGCGGAAGGGAGAAGACCTGCAGTTCAGGGTTGTATGGTGCTCACCAGGGAAAGAACATTTCTTTCTCTTTGTTTTCTTAATTTTGGAAATCACAATTTTTATCTATATTGCCATGTTGACAAGGCCCCTCAGAGTTGATTATTGGTGCTTTTGGTTAATCAAGCCAGCTTAGTAAGTTTTATAAGAAATAGGATTTTCAAAGTGTTCAATTCTTCCCTTCACATCCTGGAGAGTGAAAAGCCACCTCTAAAACTGATTGGATAAGAGTCACTTGAGTTGGGATGATGCTGGGTGACAAACCCCATGTTCTCTGTGGCTCCCCCAGACCAAAGACTGCAATGTGGTGGCCTCCAAGCTGATGTTCCTGCTGGATGACCTGCTCTGGGTACTCACTGACTCACAGCTCAAGGCTATGATGAAGTACGCAGAGTCCCTGAGTGAGGCCATGGAAAAGTCTGCCCAGCAGAGGAAGAGCCTGGCTCCTGAGCCTGTGCAGGTAGGAGACAAGTGGACATTCTTGGGGGCGCTGGGGAGCTGGAAGGCCCAGGCCTAACCTGCACCTGGGGGATCTGCGGCTCCTGAACGCTTCTGGCTTTGTGAGCCTCTCTGATGGTGCATTTATTTTGTTCACGGGGTGCCTCCTGTGTGTTTGGGAGACAGTGCTAGCAACTGGGGAGGAAAAGTGGAATAAGCATCTTTCTCCTGTCCTTGGGGTCCTCACTGTCTGAATGCTGGGCCACAGTTGAGTTGTTGCACTGTGGTGTGATGAGCAATGTGACAGAGGTAAACACTGCCTGAGAGTACAGAGGGGAGGCCGCTGACCGCTGAAGAGCATTCAGGGAAGACTTCGCAGGGCGGGTGTTCTTCAGAGGCTGGCATTTTGCAGAGGCTGGCATGTCCTCGTGAAGCTGGAGGGCAACAGGAGTCTGAGAGCCAAGTGGGCCGGCAGGTGGGGAGGCAGGCAGGAGGAAGGAGCCTCTTGCCACTGTGTGGTTTTATTCAGGTAGGTCTAACTCCATGTCTGGACTGCTCTTTTTTTTTCTGTCACATGCAGGTCACTCCGCCTGCTCCCACTGCTCAGCAGTCCTGGGCCCAGGCATTTGGTGGCAGCCCAGGCAACAGCAGCAGTAGCAGCAGCAGCAACAGCAGCAGCAACAGCAGCCGCCTCAGCCAGTACTTTGAGAAATTTGATGTGAAGGAGTCCTCCTACCACCTGCTCATCTCCCGTCTGGACCTGCATATCTGTGATGACAGCCAGTCTCGAGAGCCAGGTACCTGTGAAGCTGAGCCCGGCTTGGTGGGGCCACACCCTGCTGAGCCCGGGCGGGGGGGGGGGGCCTGGGCAGGCTGTTCTTCAAAGGAGCCGAGGGGTCTCTCAGCGGGTTTCATTGCTCTTGGAGGTACAGTGGTGCCCCCTGTCACACTCAACAGTTCTGATGTTGGTTTCTCCCCACTAGGTAAGAATCTTTTTTCAGTACTAGGGATGGAAAACAGGGCCTGTATACTGAACTATATCTCCAGCACTTTTTGTTATTTTATGTTTAGATAGGGCCTCTTAGAGTGCTAGGATTATAAATGCTTGCCGTCAGATCTGGCTAAATAAAAATCCTTAAGTGTAGAGTCCAAGCAATGTTGAACTTTTTTTTTCTCTCCCTGAAGTCTCTTTGGTAGTGCTGATGCTCGTAAGAGGTTGAGAACTGCTGGTGCAAAATTTTAGGAAGTCAAATTCAGCCATAGGAAGCCTCAGAATTTTTAGGGCTTTTTTTTTGGTGGTTGTTGTTAGCTGAAGGTTGAACCCAGAACCTTGGGTATACTGAGCACATGTTCTATTGAGCTATGAAGGTGAAAGCTACAGAAGTTTTTAGATTTTTTGGGGGGGGATTTAAAAAAAATCAATTTAAATATATATTGTGTGCAAATGTGCTCTTGCCAAGCAATGAGTATGCCCTGTTTTTGTTATACTTAGAATAGTTGGTATCACATACACTAATAGATTTAGTCCCAATGATCAAGGTAATTGCTTTTTAATAAGCCTAGGAAAAATCACTTAAACTTTTGCTTCACTTTTCAGAATTTCCTCATTTGTGAAACTGAGTGAAATCATCTGTTACTCATTTACCTTGAAGGTTGTTGCCAGGCTTAAATGATTTGTTTGTCTGTCTGTCTGTCTGTCTGTCTGTCTGTCTGTCTGTCTCTCTTTCTCTCTTTCTGTCCATCCATCCATCCATCCATCCATCCATCATGGGAACTGAACCCAGACTCTTGCACTGAGCTTTTTATTTTTTAATTTGAGATAGGGTCTTGCAAAGTTGTACAGGTTGGGCTTGCTCTTGTTATCCTCTTATATCAAGAATACTGGGATTGGGCCAGGGAGATAGCTCAGCAGCATAAGCACCTGCCTGGCAAGTGCAAGTTCCTGAGTTCAATTGATGATACTGCAAAAAAAAAAAAAAAAAAAAAAAAAGGAATGCTGGGATTACTGGAAACCACTGAGTTTTTTCTCTGGCCCTTTTAAAAACTATTTTTTGAGTTAGGATTTTTTTTTAAGGGGCACTTTCAAATTTATTGTTTGGTTTTTTTTTTCCTCTTTGTGCAGTCACTCTGCTTCTAGACATTTATTTTTCAAAGTAATCTCATTTCTCAATTACAAAGACTTGCATTTCTTATTGTGCATGTTTGGAAAGTTCCACAGCCTTTAGCCACTGCTCCAGCTTCTCACATCTGGGAGCTGCATCTCCAGAGCAGATTATTCACAGACAGACGTTATTTATCTGGAAACTTCAGTGCAAACTGGATGGAGTCTGCGCTATCCCAGGGACCATCCATCTTCCCGGACAGATAAGACATGCAGCACGTCCACTTGTGGCTTCCAGGCCTGGGCTAGGACTGGGTCTGGGGGTTCCCGGAACGCGGCAGAAATTCCAACTCGGCGGGCGGGGTGGGGGAGGTGCTGCAAGGTGGTGGGGGGCGTCCCATGGGGGTGGAAGAGGGTTTCACCCATGTTGCGCCTGGGCTGGGATCAGTAGTAGGTCCCGCCGGCGCAGGGGCGCAGGGGCGCAGGGTAGCCAGGAGCTCTCCCACACACGCCTCTTCTTTTTTTTTTTTTTGCTCCGAATGCCTTCAGGGCAGGTTTGGCTGGCTTGAGTTATGGGGATTGAACCACAGCAACCTGAACCTGACTGCTTGGTTGAACCAGCCACTTGAACTGAGCTAAGGGGCAGGCCCCCAGGATCTTTCTTTAAAATAATTTTTTGGGGCGATGAGATAGCTCAGCGGACTAGGCACCTGCACAAGTGCAGAGACCAGGATTCCATGCCTGGTCCTGCATGCTGTGCTGGCTGCACCCCTGGGGCGCACTGAGCCAAGACTGAGTCTGCAGGCGTGGTGGTGCACGCCTGTAATCCCAACACTGGAAAGGCTAAAAACAGGAGAATCACCATGAGTCCCATCTGCATAATGAGACCCTGTACCAAATACACAAATGAAAAAAATTTGAAAAAAAAAATTTATTTGAGGGACTGGTGAGATGGCTCAGTGGTCTAAAGCACCTACTTACAACAAGCTTAGCAAAGCACAGGGACCGCGGTTCAATCCCCCAGCACCACATGCCAGCCAGCCTCGCCCCCTGGTGGGCTGAGCTGGCCACACACACACACACACACACACACAAATAAATAAATTAAAAAAAAATTTATTTGATATGGGGTCTTGCTACGCAGTTCAGACTCTAGTGATCCCCCTGTCTCAGTCTTCCCAGTGCTGGATTAAGCCGTGCACTATCACATCTAGTTTCCTGGTTCTAAGGTGGGCACAGCGTGTGGTACTAGACCAAGCTATCTCCCCAGCCCCTGGGCTAGGATCTTGCTAGACTGCCTGGATGGAATTTGACTTAAGGGTCTCCTTTCTCAGTTTCCCAAAGTACTAGGAGTATAGGCATGTGTCACCATACTTGGCTTCATTCTTTTAGGTTTTTTTTTTTTTTTTGTGTGTGTGTGTGTGACAGGAATCGAACTCATAACCTAGTGCTTGCCAGGCAGGCACTGCACCACTGAGCTATGTCTCCAGCCCTTTTGGCTTCATTGTTTCAATGATGTCTCTATATTCTCTTTATATTTCCACATCCTTCCAGGTCTTAGCTTTTTTTTTTTCCCAGAACCGGGGATTGAACTCAGGCCATTGCGCTTGCCGGGGAAGTGCTTATTCCACTGAGCCATCTCTCCAGCCCCATTAGCTTTTTTTTTGTAGTGTATTTGGTACAGAGTCTACAGGGTCTCACTATGTAGATCAGACTCGTAGTATTTCTCCTGTTTTCAGCCTCCCAAGAGCTGGGATTATGTGGGTGCGCCACCATGCCCAGTCTTAATTGTAGTCTCAGTGTGCCCTAGGGGTGGGGCCGGCACAGCATGCTGGGGATAGAACCCCAGCCATTGCGCTGTACCTAAGCAGGCACTTTAGTCTGCTGAGGTATTTGGCCGGCCCTAGGTCTTAGCCTTTGATGTTTATATCTGGTAGATTTTTCTTTAGCTGCTTTATTTTCCCTCATGGATATACTTGCTATTTATGTGTGTATGGGTGTGAACATATGATTGTGTATGTTTGTATATGTGTATAGGCAGTACTGAAGGTTGAATCCAGGGAGCACTAAGCTATCCCTGGTTCTTTTTATTTTGAGATAAGGTCTTGCTAAATTTCCCAGTGACCTAGAGCTTACGATAAGCTTTCTACCTTAGTCTCCTAAGTCGACGGAGTTATGGCACGTGCAACCACATCTTCATGCTCTCCTCCTTTCTGCGACAGGGTCTCACAGTGTAACAGAGGCCAGTCCTGGTGTGGTGGGGACACCTGTAACCCAGCACTCGTGCAGCTGAGATGGGAGGATTGCTGCCAGTTTGGTCTACATAGTGTATTCAAGGCCAACCTAAACCACATTGTAAGACCTTGTCTCAAACAGCCCTGGAACTTGCTTGTAGCCCACACTAGCGTCAAACTCTTGATCCTCCTGCCTTATTCCTCTGAGTGCTGGGATTATAGGTGCATCATAGTGCCTGGCTCTGTATTTGGCTCTTAATGATATCTACACTCAGTTTTTGTGGGGGACCTACCTAATTTCTTTCTCCTGGGGCACCAAGCAGCAACACTTTTCTTAGTTGATTACCCCTTGGTCTTTTTTTTTTTTAGTGTATCAGTTATTTAATTAGGTTCTTAGTAAGAAATGTAGAACACTAATTTATGAGGATAATTTCCATTTGTCAGAGCAAAAACAGATCACAGGTAGCCCTGGAGCTGAGGAACAGCTTTGATTTTTGCTAAAATCTGTGAGTCCACCGCTTTCTGATCCACTTTGTGCTGCTCTGAAATCTGGTATCTTTCTTTCTCGGTGTTGAAGATCTTGCCCTCCTGGTGTCTGGGTTTCCGCAGCTACTGCTGCTTCTTTTCTTTTCTGGAACCAGGGATTGAACTCAGGCCCTTGCACTTGCAAAGGAAGTGCTTATTCTACTGAGCTATCTCCCCAGCCCCTTTCTTCTTCTTGAAGTAAGCATCAGTGAGGTGTTTGGGGATTTTCACTTTGCTGATACCAATTTTTGTAGAGGTGGCAATGACAGATTTCTGGTGTAAGGCTAAGAGGCCCAGTCACAAGTCACAAGCCACTGGCCAACTGCTTCAGGAAGACCATTCTCTGAAAATTAAATGGAATAATTTTTAACTTGCCTCTGTGACTCCTAGTGAGGATGATCAAGATGGTGCCGGGAGTGATGCTAGCTCGAAGTTTCCGCACATGCTGACTGAAGGGTTTCTTGCCGTGGCTCGAGCTTTCGGGGCACAACTTCAGTAGGGTGTATCTAGGCATTTATCGAAGCTTACCCACCCGGCTACCTCCATTCTTGTCCCCACTGACTGGTTTTGTGATCGTGGCAAGAACTTTCTCCTTTTTCTTCTCAACCTTTGATTTAGCAGCTGTGTACTTTCTCTTGTACAAAGCCTTTCTGGAATACACAGCACATCAGAGTATCTACCAATTCCTCTAACCAGGACAGGATTATGGCTGCAGTGGCGCTGCCCCTTCTTGGACTTTTTTGCCTTCTTCACCTTACCCTTTTTGCCAGTACCACTGGCAGAAGCCTTCTGGGCTTCAGGTTTCTTCCCTTTAGTGTCTGGCTTCTCAGTTTTTCCACCTGCCATCTTGCAAGATGGGAAAGAGAACTAAGTTTTCTACCCTTTGTTCTTAAAGAGATTTCAGCCCTCCGTTTCCCCCTTCTTAGAGGGATGAAATGAGCAATAAGGACATAGAGATGGGTTTGTCACCACAGGAAATCATTTTTTTAAAATATTTATTTATTTATTTATTTATTTTTTTATTACATTTATTTATTGTGTGTGTGTGTGTGTGTGGCCAGCTCAGCCCACCAGGGGGCGGGGCTGGCTGGCGTGTGGTGCTGGGGATTGAACCGCGGTCCCTGTGCTTTGCTAAGCTTGTTTCAAGTAGGTGCTTTAGACCACTGAGCCATCTCTCCAGCCCTCAGGAAATCATTTAACACCCACTAATGTTGGAAGCTTGTTACTAATATGATTATTTTGAGTAGTTATTTTCACCAAGCATTACCAAAAGGCTTTGGACATTTTCATTTTGTCTTTAGTCCTTTAGAAGTCTTTCCAGTCAAGTGCTTTTTCTTTCTTTCTTTTTTTTTTTTTTTTGCGGAACCAGGGATTGAACTCAGATCCTTGCATTTGCCAGTCAAGCGCTTATCCTACTGAGCCATCTCCCCGGTCCCCTAGAGGTCTTAATTAAAACTACATTATCATAACAGGTTCATCATATTGTTTGATAAAACAACATTTAGAACTGTCTTCAAATGCCTTAGTTCTTTGATCCACCTAAGCCAGGAATAACTGTGATCTTACTCCAGGATTACTTAGTTTATGGAATTTAGGGAAGTTTTGGATGGGATATTTTGATATAGGGACAATTCTTCACCAACCATGACCAGGGATGGTGTGTTACTCCATGAAGGGACATAGAATAGGTAAGCTCTTATAAGTTTTGACTGTTCCCCTTGGATCTGGGCATCAGGGATGGGAGAACAGGTGGTACACAAAGGGCCTTAAGATGCTCTGGAATTGAGCATGGTGGTGCACTCCTGTAATCCCAGCACTTCGGAGGCTGAAGTAGGAGGATTGCTGAGAGTTCAAGGCCAGCCTGAAATTGTTCTTTTTTTTTTTTCTTTTTGGCAGAACTGGGGATTGAACGCAGGCCTTTGAGCTTGTCAGGGAAGTGCTTATTCCACTGAGCTGTCTCCCGGCCCCTGAAATTGTTCTATTTGATTTCAATTATAGATCCTGTTTCAATATACTTGGTCATGTGATCTGTTGTCCTTTTAACTCTAAATAGCTCCATAGGACAGAGCATAGTGTAGAATCTTCTTCTCGTAGTGTAGGTCATGCAGTTTTCAAGTGAGATGATAGGACTCCTAAGGACGAGTGACTCTTTCTTTTAAACAGTTTTATTGAGAGGTAATTAATATACCATAGAATTCTTTTAGGTTATACAACAAACATTGATGATTAGTGTTTTTCCATTCTTTTGGAGTTGTACAGTCATTGCTATAGTCTGATTTTGGAACATTTTTATCCCTCTAACTGTCCCCATTTGCTCTATTACCCTTGGTAGCCTAAGCAAGCACTAATCTGTTTGTCACACTGCTTGTCTACTATAGAAGTTGGAAATTAGTTTCAAGGTTTGGGAAGGTCTGAGATATAATAGTTTTGTGGCCTTCCATAACCTAACTCTGAAAAAATCTTTTTCTTAGGTATTTAATTTTTCTTGTTGGGTTTTCATGGGTATCACATGAGCAGCACTGACTTTGAATTTGTGTATGGCACACACTGTCTTGGAAGATCTGCGCTACAGCTGTGGCAGGTAGATGGCTGTGATCAGAAGACTTTCTCTGTATGGGTTGCCAGGTCTCAAAGTCTTACAGCAAGAGATGGCCTGCTCGTGCCTGTTGGCTGCCACTGGCTACATGCCAATGTGATTCTCAGTATTTTTGTGATTAACACTTTGAAAATTAAATGAAAATAGTTTTAAGTCTATAAAAGTTGTTTAGACCTGTATTAGTCAGTTACTCAAAGGAAAAAAGGTTGACAGTATCTGAGTGAATATCTAATAACTAGTTATTAGAGTTATTCTCTTATATCAGGCAAAAGGGAAGCCAAGTGTGGTGGCACAGGCCTACCAGCTCAGCACTTGAGAGGCTGAAGCAGGATGGCATGTTGAAGGCTGGTGTGGGCTGCGGAGCAACACCCTGTCTCAAGAAACGAAGGAAAAAGGAAAAAAAGAAAAAAAGTTAGAAGTTGAGTAAAAAAAAAATTATTTATTTTTATTTTATTTATTTATTTATTTTTTGCGGAACCCGGGATTGAACTCAGGCCTTTGTGCTTGTCAAGGAATCACTTATTCCACTGAGCCATCTCTCCAGCCCCCAAAAATTTTTAAAAAAATTTTAGTTGTTTTACTTTTATTGAAAAATATTTGAATAATTCTAATTTTGATTATATGGCTATTATGTATTTATATAAATTGCTAATTTACATAGCAGTGTATACCTTATAATTTATATAAGTAATCACATTAAACATTAGAAAATATAGTTGTAACTGTAAACTAATTTATTTTTTTAAATGTATTTAGTACAGGGCCTACAGGGTCTCACTATATAGATTGGACTCCTAGCAATTCTCTGTTTTTGGCCTCCCAAGTGCTAGGGTTACAGGTGTGTGCCACCACGCTCAGTCTTATTTGCCATCTGAGTGCACCCCTGGGGTGGGGCCGGCATGGCACGCCAGGGATCAAACCTCGGCGCTGCTCTCTGCCTTAGCAGGTGCTTTAGTCTGCTGAGCTCTCTGGCCAGCCCCTAAATTTTTAATTATTTATTTAGTATAGGTTCTACAGGGTCTCACCACACAGATCAGACTTATAGTGATCCTGTTTTCAGCCTCCCAAGTGGTAGGATTACAGGCTCACGCCACTATGCCCAGTCTTATTTGCTATCTCGGCATGGCGCAGGGGCGGGGCATGGCATGCCAGGGATTGAACCCCGGTCCCTGAGTCTGCCTAAACAGGCACTTTAATCTGCTGAGCTATCTGGCTGGCCCATGTAAGCTAAATTTTTTTTATGGTTTTTGAGATTGGGTTTTGCTATATACTCTAGGGTGGCCTTGTACTTGAGGCAGTCCTCCTGCCTCAGCCTCCTGAGCACTGGGATTACAGGTGTGTGTCACCACATCCAGCAAAGCTCAATATTAATTCCTGTAAAATATTTAATTTTACTTAAAATATATTTCATGTTTCCTTATTGCGAATTGAAGAATAAAAAGCTTTATGTATGTGCTTTTAAATGTATAAATACACACACACAGGTATAGAAGAAGGCTCAATTGGAAAAAAAGTCTCAAATGGTTCCTTGCTGGGAGAGGTCATTATGAAAGAAAGGCTGAAAAACAGAAACTCTGGTGTTGGTGTTTTCTTCTGGTAGGGTGGTGACCAGCCAGTAGTGGGATGGTGAGATCTATATGGGATCCCAGTTACCTGCTTGTTGAAAGTCTACAGTTTATGCCCAGAAGCTTCTGTGATGCTTCCTTCCATTGAGTTCTGTGGTTTTTTCCCTCAAATTTAGTAAGTGCCTACTATCTACAAGGCTGTGTGCCAGCTATTCCAGTAGGGCTCAGGTGGGAAATACGGGATAGGTGGGTCAGACCTCACACACACACACACACACAGACACACACACACAGACACACACACACAGAGACACACACAGACACACACACAGAGACACACACAGACACACACACACAGACACACACACACAGACACACACAGACACACACATACAGACACACACACACACAGAAGAAATGGTTCCTGCTTCACAGTGTTTTAGTCTAATTGGAGAGAGAAACATGAATAGTTCATTTAGTAAAAATTCAGCATAAACTCAAAACAAATATAAAGTTTGACTTACTGCTAAAAGTTCCATTCTTCTTATAATATCTTGTGTTTTTAATGTCCCTGTTTGTATGTTTCTTTTAGTGTTTCACGAAAGTGTTTATAGTTTATAATAATTATCTGGTATCACAGTTGTAGCTCTGTGCCAAAATGTCAAGGGAAATAATGGAGGTTCTGTGTTTTGTTTTGTTTTTAGTTTTTATTGTTGTTTGGGGTGGGGGAATCTGGCTTATGCTTCTCCAAGTGTGCAGAGAGACAGCAGTGCTAATATTGTTAGGGTTGGGGAAAATAATTGGTCAAGAGTGTGTGAAATATGGGGTTAAAATTCCTGAGCCACCGCGCACGGAGCAGTGCATTCCTGTAATCCCAGTGTGGGGAGGCTTGAGATGAGATCACCCTGAATTCAAGGCTAGCCTGGTCTACCTAGCAAGATGTCCCAAAAGACCAAAATAAATAAGTAAATATAAATAAAATTCAATTCACTTCCTGAATCACAAGTTTTTCAGTTTCTTTTGCTTTTCTGGAAATCTGGCAGCCACTTAGAGATCATGGAATATACTTTTTGTGGATCTTTTAGAATATATCCACTGACTGTTGTGACTCAAGAGAGCAGAGGAGGAAGCCACAGCCTGCAGGTCACTTGGTGCAGGGCCTTTCAACTGCACTGGTACTAGCTGCTTTGTGAGCGCTGCAGTAGTGGTTCGGCACGCTGCTCCGCATGCTCACCTACGTTTCTTTCCCAGGTGTTTCTGCAAGCAGACTCATGGGTGGTGCCATGCAGCTTACTTTCCGCAAGATGGCGTTTGACTACTACCCGTTCCACTGGGCAGGTTAGCAGAACTTTGGCTGGGGTCTGCTCCCAAGTGGTCCAAAATACTGCAGCAGATTGGGGCCCACCCCAGCCTACTCCGCAGGGTCGTGGTGGGATCGCAGCGCAGTGGTGTGGGGCATGTCTGGGCAAGTCCTTCAGTAGACAGCTTTGGGAAACCTGGGTCTTGGTGACTAATGAGAGGAAGTAGGGCAGGGCGGTGAAGCCTGAGACGCTGCCTCTGGCTCTTCTTGCAGCCCTTTACCTCCGCCAGGTCTGGAGCCTCTCCTGTGGTCTACGGTCAAGGTTGGCAGTCACAGCTGGCCTGCAGAAGCCTCAGGGAAAAGTCACATACAGATTCCAAGAGAACTTGGGTACTGTCACTGTGGCTAATTTTTCTTTAACCCAGAGAATTCTGTATTGGGGATGAGGAATCCCATTCTGCTGTGTGCCTATATTTTCAGGAATGAGAGGAAGTTTGGAACATTAGCTCATGACTTTGGGCCAAAATCATTTTGTGTCTTTGTTACGCAGGTGATAGCTGCAGACACTGGGCACGGCACTGTGAGGCCATGGAGACCAGGAGCCAGTGGGCCCGGAAGCTGGTGATGGAATTCCAGACTGAAATGGAGAAGTGGCATGAAGAGACAGGGCTGAAAACGTCCTGGCACTTGGGGGTAGATGCCCCCTTCCGGAGAAAAGCAGGTGGGTTGTTGGGAACTGGACGACTCCTATTGCTCTGCTTGCCATTAATCTTTGAATATCCAGTGGGAGAAAGCAATGGAACAGCTAGATTGTGTCTCATGGAGTGACATCAGTAATATTTTCTTTCTGGAGTCCTCTGTCCTCAGGAATAGCTGCAATATTAAGGAGAACTTGTCATCATTTGTATTCCATAGGCAGTTACTTTGGTCTTAAGACTATTTTAGGGGGCTGGGGAGATGGCTCAGTAGAGTAAATGCTTGCCTGGCAAGCGCAAGGGTCTGAGTTCAATTGCTGGTTCTGCAAAAAAAAAAAAAAAAAGACTATTTGGGGGGTGCCAGTGAGGTAGCTCAGCAGACTAAGTGCCTGGTTAGGCAAGTGCAGTGGCCAGGGCCTGGGGTTTAATCTCTGGCACCACTTGCTCTGCCGGCCCTGCCCACAGGCGAGCTGAGCCCCCACTGAGTCTGGTGTGGTGGTGCTCGCCTCTAATCCCATCACTTGCTGGGCAGGCTTAAAACAGGTGAATGACTACAAGTCTGAGCTGTGCAGTGAAGGCACTGTACTAAATACACAAATTGCAAGTGTAAAGACCTGAGTTCAATCCCTGGTTCTGCAAAAAAATAAATAAAAATAAATAAATAAATAAATAAATATTTTTGAGTTACACTCAGTGTTCTTTTTTATTTACAACATTAATGGTTTTAGGATTTTTTTCCTTTGAGGTGCTAGGGATTGAACTGAAGGCCTCGCACATGTTAGGGAAGTGCTCTACCCACTGAGTTAGGTCTCCAGCCCCCTTTAAACAAACAAACAAACAAACAAACATTTATTTATTTATTTATTTAGACCACTGAACTATCTCCCCCCAAGCCCCTCCCCCTTTATATTTTTGAAACAGATTTACTGAATTGCTTATGCTGGCCTTGAATTTGTGTCTCCCCCTGCCTCAGCTTCCTGAATAGTTGGGATTATAGGCATATATTGCCATAATCTTTGCTCTTAAGAGTTTTTACTTTAGGGGCCGGGGAGATGGCTCAGTGGAATAAGTGCTTCCCTGGTAAGTACAAGGGCCTAAGTTCAATCCCCAGTTCCACCCAAAAAAAAAAAAAAAGATTTTTACTTTGCTCATTCTATTGTTAATAAGAGATGAATGTATTTTGATTCTCTTTCCCACTTTCTTATGTTTCTGTAGCTTCTTTCTCCAGTCCTGGAAAAAATCCCCTTGAGAGGATGCCCTCCCAGGGCCAGCAGGCCGCCTTCCGACCTCCAGCATGGCATCGCTTACGTTCTAGCTGCGTGGTTGTGCGGGTAGATGACCTGGACATCCACCAGGTCAGGAGCTTGGCTGGGAGGCGGTGCCACAGCCCACTGGCAAGGCATTGGGAGCCATGAGAACAAATTGGCATCCAGGGACTCTGTCTCACTTCTGGGTAGACTGACAGTTTTGTCTTTTTCATTCTGACCATGACTGCCAAGAAAAGGAATTGGAAATTCTCCCAATTTTCCTCCGGATGCCTTAGTACAGCCTCTTGTGAACATGGGAACAGTGTGAGCTGGTGTGAGAACAGCTGGGATGTGTGTGACAAGGACCGTGTTCCCCTGGCAGGGTGGTATGGCTCCTGGGAGGCCTCACACTCCTTCGAGGAAGCTCTCCTCTAGTCTGGGCTGCTGCAGGTGCTAACAGAAAGTTGTGGTTGCTCAGGTTTCTACAGCTGGACAGCCAAGCAAGAAGCCATCTACGCTCCTTTCCTGCAGCCGCAAGCTCCACAGCCTGCCCTCTCAGGTCTCTGCGATTCACGTCGAGTTCACCGAATATTACTTCCCAGATAATCAGGAGCTCCCAGGTGCGCATGGGGCTGGCCATATGTGTCTGAATCACATTCTTCACTTTCAGCCTTACTGCCACTCTGAAAGTCTCACGAGTCACTAGCAGTTTTAAGTGCTTGGGTTGTTTTTATTGACACTTCTGTTAAAAACTGTGCCCTTTGTAAATGTGTATCTTTGCTCTCTTGATAGTAAAATAAATATTAGATGGTAAGAGCCCAGCTGATGCTTTACACAAGCTGTGTTTTTCTTTTCTTTCTTTCTTTCTTTCTTTCTTTTTTTTTTTTTTTTTCTGTTTTCTAGTTCCCTGTCCCAATCTCTATATTCAGTTAAATGATCTGACATTTACTGTGGATCCAGTTAGCCTGCTCTGGGGAAACCTCTTCTGCCTCGATTTATACCACAGCTTGGAGCAGTTCAAAGCTATCTATAAGCTGGAAGATTCAAGGCAGAAAGATGAACACCTGGACATCCGGCTGGATGCCTTCCGGTTGAAGGTAGGAAAAGAATAGGATTTTTGTCTTTGGTTGGGATCCAAAGCTGCATTTTCCTTGTGGCTATAATCCACAGTTCTGCTTTGTCTCTGTCCATCCGATGGGAGCAAGAAAAGCAAAAGCCCAAATGATTTTTCACATGTGCATTAATGGTGGCATGCTGAAATACTCAGATACCTCATCTGAGTTGTGTTTCATTTTCTCTCTGAAGGTGAGCTTCCCACTGGAGAAGCGCGAGCAAGCGAAGTTGCATCGTCCCCAGGCCCTTGTCTTCTCTTCATCCAGCATGATTGCCACTAATACCCGTCATGCCCCACACTGTGGCTGTGCAGACCTCCAGAGTCTTTTCCGGAGTTTTGCTGCTGCTGAGTTCTTTCATTCTAATTATGATCACTTTCCCAGGGTTGCTGGTGGTTTTAGTCTTCTGCATATGCTGTTTTTGCACCATGCCTTCCAGATGGATTCTGGCCTCTCTCGGCCTAGCACCCGCCCTCCCCAGAGGCCTGAGGCTTCCCAGGACCTCTGGTCCATCCACTTTACCCAGATCTCCTTGGACTTCGAGGGAACAGAAAATTTAAAAGGCCATTCCTTGAATTTTGTGGCCCCTTTCCCCTTGTCCATGTGGGCCTGCCTGCCTCTCCGCTGGCAACAAGCCCAGGCCCGGAGGCTCCTTTTGGCCTCAGAGGGGAGGCTTAAACCATCAGCCAGCTTTGGAAGTCCTACCCGATCTGAGGCCCTGGCCCCTGATTCTGTGTCACATCAGAGGTCCAAGACTGAGCACGATCTGAAGAGCCTGTCGGGCCTCACAGAAGTCACAGGCATCCTAGAAGGCAGTGGTGCGGCAGATAGCAAAGGGCCTGCAACAGAGCTGGAGGATGCAGCTGATGTTCACGTGCTTGTGCACTCCCCCACCCACGTCCGTGTGAGGCTGGACCACTACCAGTACTTGGCCCTCCTCCGCCTGAAAGATGTGCTTCAAGGGCTTCAGGAGCAGCTGGCCAAGGACACGCAGGCCATGACTGGATCTCCCCTGCAGGACCAGACGGCTTGCATTGGTGTCCTCTTCCCCAGTGCGGAGGTGGCTCTGCTCATGCATCCTGCTCCTGGGGCTGGTGATGTGGACTCTGCAGGCTCAGACACCACCAGCCTCATAGATTCTGAGCTGTCTCCATCAGAGGAGCAGGAACCAAAGTCTGACACATCATTGGAGCAGGGCCCAGCAAGCCCAGAGAAGGTCCTGGAGGATAGCAGCACAGAAAATCTGGATGTGGCGCACGAGAGGCCTCACAGCAATGGAGAACTGCAGGACCTGGGTCCCTCTGCACAGCAGGTGGCAGGGAAGGGCCACGAGGCCGTCCAGTCCCTACAGGCCAAGAGGCTGAGCAGAGCCCAGGCCTCCAACTCACCAGCTGTGTCCAAGTCCCCTGCAGGCAGGGACCCTGCTGTGAATGGACAAGGTGAGCCCATGCCCCTGAAGAACATTGAGGAAGAATTATCTAGTGCTATCCACATGACCAAAGATGCTACCAAGGAGGCTCTGCATGCCACCATGGACCTCACCAAGGAAGCCGTGTCCCTGACTAAGGATGCCTTCAGTTTGGGCAGAGATCGAATGACCTCCACCATGCACAAGATGTTGTCCCTACCCCCAGCCAAGTGAGTAGTTCTCTGCCTCCCTTAGTCTCTCTCTCTCCCGCTGGTTCTGACCACGGGGCTGCTTCTCAGTTGGGTCCAGGAATGCATAGAATGACTGACTTAATGGGCCACTGCAGGTCCATGTGTATTGCTTCTTAGAACCACCTTATCTTCCCTTTCACTGATGCACAGTGGTTGCCCCGATATGCTGCATCATACCAACCCCTGGCTTTGTGTAATACTCTTTTCAGTGGGTTTTTATGTAGGTATTTGTTTGGTTTGATTTTCACGGCAGCCTGGTAAGGCAGCTACCAGACATTTGTATCCTCAGTGTATAGTGTATTGAGAGAGGATGTGTTTGTGCCTTCTCCAGCCTGTAGCTAGAATAGCTGGGCCTTGCAGCTTGCTCTTTATGGTGCCCCTTTCCAGGATCAGAGTGATACGGAAGGAAGAACTTCATCCATTTCTTCAGCCATTTGTTTGCTTTTAGTGCTGGGAATCAATCCCAGAGTGTCACGCTGTGCTAGCGAAGCACTCTTACTTAGCCTCACCCACAGCCCACAGCAAATGTTTTTTGGGGTCTTAAGCATGTTCTAGGCCAGTGATAGTGAATCTTTCAGTGCTTTCAGTGAAAACAAGAAGCTGCAGCATGCTGTCGGCTCCCTACACTGCTCTTGGCTCTGTGTTCAACAGAAATGCATAGTGAGGAGATCAGTTCTGTCAGGATTTTCTTGTGGCTTTAGAACGATAATGAAGACTCTAGGAAATCTGTGCTGGGACACTTGGTGCTTTAAAACCTGTGGTATGAAGATCAGTGCCTCTTACGGCTTGTGTCTAGATGTTCCTCCAGAGCCTCCTGCACTCACAGGGCGGCTGTGCAGAGCTGGCTGGACCTAGAGTGTGTGGTGTGGGCCCAAGGGTGTGCGATTACTAAGTGAGTCCACCGATTGGTTTGGCATAGTTCTGGTTAGACTTAAGAGTGTGAGTCTACACGTGACCTAAGGCGGGAGCTTGTGTAACCCGTAAGGGACAGAAGGAGGGCTAATGTGGGCTTTCTGACTGCTTCTCCTCTCTGATGTTGCCCTGCCTTGGAGCCAGCCAATCATGGGCTGATCCCTCTACAGACTGTGGGCCAAGCAAACCTTTCCTCCTTCACCGTGGGTGTCAGGTGTTGTCTCAGTGATGAACAAAGTAAGACAGTGACACTAGAGCTTTTTTCTAAGTGAATTACGTTAAGATGTCTCTGAGCAATGCATATGTCTGGCACCTGTTAGGATAGACTGCCCCAGAGGAAGAAGTGAGGAAAATCTAAAGAGATGAGTACTGTAACAATCCCAGACTGGGGCTTTTTGTGTCTGACATCCTCCCAAAGACAATTATTCCTATGCCTGGTCTTGTCCTGAAGATGGTTGCTAGTGTCATGATCACTTTATAGATGAGGAAACCAGGCTCAAGGGAGGTAGGAACCTTGGTCAAGCTCACAGAGCTGGCGAGGGATGGGCAAGGATTCCAGGCCATGCTCCTAATCATGGAATGCACTGTCTTTTCTAAATGGAGACACTTAAGGAAGATGGAAGAAGAGGAAGACGTAAAGAGAAGAAAGCAATGACTTGTGATTAAAGTTTTATTTTATGACACTGGGGATTGAACCCAGAGCATTCTTATTGATCTACATCTTCACATCCTTTTTTATTTTTAATTTTGAGCATTGCATTAAGCTGCTGAGTTGCTCAGCCTGGGCTCAAACTTGTGATCCGCCTGCCTCAGGCTCACAGAGTGCTGTAACTCTTTTAAAACATAACAACGATTTCCTAACTGCCCAGATGAGTGGCCTTTTCTCAGTCTGCCTTCTCTGGACTCCCGGTGGCAGTTAGCGTTGCTGGTCGGTTCCTTCTGAGCATTTGCACTCTTGCCGAGCTTCTCTCGCTTCCCTTGGATTCTTTTTGTCTTAACAGTGGCAGCATTTCATAGGCTATCCATAGTCAGATCACCTGAATCATAACTTTGTTTTTTTAATTATAAAAATGATTTGTAGGGGCTGGAGAGATAGCTCAGTAGAATAAGTGCTTGCCTGGCAAGCACAAGGGCCTGCGTTCAATCTCTGGTTCTGGAAAAAAAAAAAAAAAAAGAATGATTTGTGGAGATATAGCTCAGCAGTACAGTACCTTCCTGGCCAGCAAGCACAAGGTCCTGAGTTCAATTTCTGGTGTGTGCACGCACGTGTGTGCACACACACACACAATTGTGTTCATTGTGTTGACAATGTAGGAAATCAGAAGAATAGAAAAGGAAGCAGCTAGGTGTGGTAGGTAGCTCTTACCTGTAATTTCAGCTACTTGGAAGGCTGAGGCAGAAGATTTGAAAGTTTGAGGATAGCCTGGGCAAATTAGCAAGACCCTGTCTCAAAATTAAAAAAGAGGACTGGGATGTTGCTTGGTGACTGAGTGCTTGCCTGGCCCGCACAAGGCACTGCGTCTAGTGCGCAGAACTGCGAAACACAAAAGTTAAGGTTGCCACTCCTTGTTTACATTTGAGGTTTTTTTTCTTTTTTCTTTTTTGATCATGGTCTTCTGGCCTTGCACTCACTACGTAGCACAGACTGGCCTCAGACTCACAGGGATTTTCGTGCATTGGCCTCCCAGTGCTGGAATTACAGGCATTTGTCCCTATGCCTGCCTCTTCCTATGTTTGAGGACTTTTTTTTTTTAACAGTGCTGGGCATTGAACCCAGGGCCTTATGAATGTTAGGCAAGCTCTTTCCGTCCAAGCTACATCCTTAGCCTCTTTTCCAACTTTTGCTTCTCTTCTTACTTTTTTTATACCTGTAACTACGTGTCCATGTGAGCACCTCTATGCAGTTATACAACACACACACTGATTTTACATAGGATTGTATCATTGCTACACTACTGCAAGAGTTTATTCATTCAATGTTTTTGTTTTCTCCTTGTTAGATGTCTGAGTAGCTGGTTTTTAATTGCCTTATTTTCCTCTAGCATATGGATATATTATAATTTATTCATCCATTGGCGTTGTTAAATGGCTTTATTTTATTTTATTTTTTTTTTATTTTTTTGTCTTTTTCAGACAGGGTCTCGCTATGCAGTTCAGGCTGGCTTTGAGATCACTTTGTAACCCACGCTGGTCTTGAACTTGCAAAGATCCTTCTGCCTCAGCCCAGTGCTGAGGTTACAGGTATGCACCACCACACCCTGTTTGTCTTAATCACCTTTTTTTTGTACAGGGAATTGAACTCAGGGCCTTGTGCTTGCCAGGCAGGTGCTTGTGCCACTGAGCTACATCCCTGGCCCAAAATGACTTTATTTTTGTGAATATTACTCTGTCACATGGTCCATATCCAAAGTCTTTAGAACATTAACCTAGATGTGAAATGACTGAGTTAGATGCTACCAACACTTAAGGTTTTTGATTTATCTGCCAATTCAAGTTTATCTCAATCCGTACTCTGAACACTGAGTTGTTTTATCCCTTTACCTTTACTGTTGTTTGTGCTCCTGAACCTGAATGACCCTCCTGCCTCTGCTCTTCATTTGAAACTATCTGCTAGTGTGTGGGTCTCACACCCATACAGCTGAGCCCATATCCCTTCCCAGAAGGTCTGTTCCCCACAGACCCCAACTGACACACAGGCCCCGCCCCGTCTTTCCTCTGTTAGTAATAGCATTCTCTGACTCATTCACCTGAGTATTCTATCCCTTTGCCTCTTAGGCTCATTTGTCATGTTCTTTTTTTTTTTTTTTTTTTAATTTTATTTGTGTGTGTGTGTGTGTGTGTGTGTGTGTGGGTGGGTGGCCAGCTCAGCCCACCAGGGGGCGGGGCTGGCTGGCATGTGGTGCTGGGGGATCAAACTGCGGTCCCTGTGCTTTGCTAAGCTTGTTCTAAGTAGGTGCTTTAGACCACTGAGCCATCTTACCAGCCCTCATTTGTCATGTTCTGACCATCATTCCCTCATCAGTGATTTATCAGATTGTAGTTATTTGTTAAAACTTGACCTCTATCACAGAAAAAGATTAAGCCCGAAGGACAAATTATCAGTCTTATAGCCACAAATTAGTGACAATAGGATTTGTTTTATATAGTATTTGATGCCAATGGTCTGTTTGTTGTCTGGGTTTCTCTTGCTTACTTGCTTGCTCACTCCTTCTCTTTCATTCTTTGCTTATAATTTTATTGTTGAAAATAACTCATTTTATGTCTATTAAAAAATCAGTAACTTTTAGAAATCAGAATCATGAGGCGGGCTTATGAAAACATAGGCTGTTGCTTGTGTGGGGCGGCACCTGCCTATAATCTTAGCTACAACAAAAGGATTTTGACTTTATTTGTAAAAAAAGAAAAAAAAAATTTCCCCAATGCTGAAAACAGAAAACCCAGGTACAGGGGCCTGTCCCTGGACTTCTCTTTCCCGAGGTGTAAGATGGGTTGAGGGTTTGCACTTGTAAACTTTGCTGTTGGTGCTGATGCTCCAGGTGTGGCGTGCTGCTTTAGGGCCTCTCACAGCGCTGCTTGCTGTCCATTCCCACATGCGGCTTTTGCAGTAAATCATTGACCATCTGCGTTGAAAAGTCCGAGTCAGCTGCCTAAAGCACAGGCATAGGCTTGTCATTTCCCTTCTCCAAAACCTGAGGCTTTTTTCTTGTAACTCCTGACCCCTGGGTGTACTTGGATGTGCTTTGCCTTTTGCTGATACCAACTTAATACAGCTGTGGAACCCAGGGCTGTGAGGCACCAGCTGAGGTCTCCACCGCTGAGCCTCACCCAGCCCTGGTCTGAACTTTTTAGTGTTGTTCTCCCAACACAACTAGTGCCACACCTGGGCTGAGCTATTTATAGTCTCATTTCCCTTTAGTTGTGCTGTTTTTCCCAGTCAAATGTCCCCTCCCTCTCCCCCCCTCCCCCTCCCCCTTTCCCTTCCCCTT